GACCTGTGGAGGCCATGATTGCCTTTCCTGCCAGGTCAGATATCCCAGCTCCTCTTAGGAGCCGTTGATGGCTCTGTCAGAAACGTGTTCAAACCCTTTGTGAAAAGGTTTCCATTTCCTTTGGGTATTCTCCCTTGGGGCTAATGAGTTCCATTAGGCTTATTACCCAATGTGAGAAGTAGGACTTCTTTTATTTGTCCTAAACCTATCTGGATCAAGTTGCAATGGGAGCTCCCTCCACCCCTGCGTCCTTGTATCTTGCTGTCCAAACGACCAAGGTGTTGGCCTCCTTCAGGCTGCTGCCTGTCAGCCTTCACATGTTCATACAGGTTTACCGGCGTGCGTGTGTGTGTGTGTGCGTGTGCGTGCGTGCGTGTCTCTCGTTCTGCCATCCAGGCTGGAATACAGTGGCGGCATCACAGCTCACTGCAGCCTCCACCTCCTGGGCTCAAGTGATCGATCCTTCCACCTCAGCCTCCCTGGTAGCGGGACTGCAGGTGCCACCACGCCTGGCTACGTTTTGTATTGTTTGTAGACACAGGGTTTCACCATGTTGCCCAGGCTGGTCTCGAACTCCTGGGCTCAAGTGATCCTCCCAAACTGTTGGGATTATGGGCGTGAGCCACCATGCCCGGCCCACACTGGTTTCTCTGTTGTGTTCTTGCACATTCACAGCTGTTCTCATCAGAGCAGCCCCCATGTGGGGCTTTGGGTCAGATACCCAGGAGGCCTGACAGCAGCTGCCTGGCCACCTCCTTAAGCCTCTCAGCCGAGCCTCTGCTCTCCGCCATTCCTACCCCCGCCATTCCCTGACAGGGCTGGCCACCCTCCTGCCTGTTGTATGGCCCTCTTTCCTGCCGGCCAGCCAAAGCCCGCTGGAGCAGCCCAGCGGAGTCCTGTGCCCACCCCCTCTGGGTGCCCCACCTTCCCCGCTATGTTGGAAGGGCACAGTGAGGAACACTTGGCCTCAGAGGAGGGAATGATTCAGCCCCTCCCACCCCCGTGTCTAGCTGAAGCCATTGGTGTCTGCTCCGCTGATTGTCCTGATGCCCGAGGACCTGTGGACCGTGGAGAATGACATGATGGTCAGCTACTCGTCAACCTTGGACTTCCCCAGCAGCCCGTGGGACTGGATTGGACTGTACAAGGTGATGTGGTGGCAAGGCAGGGAGTCCATCAGCAACAGCCCCCAGTTCGTCCTTCCCGAGGGCTCCTGGGAGCTGGGCAGATGCTGATAAACACCCTCATCCACCCCAGCGGTTCTTCTGTAGCTTAGGGCTGGCAGGGAAGGGCGGCGGGGAGGCTTACAGTACAGTAGCCAGGCCCAGCGGTGAGACTATTCTCCTTAGGACTTGCCTAGCGTCCCAAGTCCTCCCTGACCACTGATGGCCTGACTCCCCCTCACAGGTGGGGCTGCGGGACATTAATGACTACGTGTCCTACGCCTGGGTTGGGGACAGCCAGGTCTCCTGCAGCGACAACCTGAACCAGGTACGTCACCAGCACCAGGTACGTCACCAGCAGGCGGGCCTGCCTCAGCACTCCTGTCTCGTGGAGGGAACAGAGTGCTGGATAACTTGTCACTCCGAGCTGGGTGGAGCCCAGAGCCCTGGAACTGACCCCAGTCCTGTCCATCCCCCTCCCCCTCCAGGTTTACATCGACATCAGCAATATCCCTGCAACTGAAGATGAGTTTCTCCTCTGTTACTACAGCAACAGTCTGCGTTCTGTGGTGGGGATAAGCAGACCCTTCCAGGTAAGCGATGCTGGTGAGGGAAGCGGGAGCGGGAGGGCTTGAGCCCATCGTCGGTTCCCTGAGGCCCAGGCCTGGGGCCAGCCTGTACGTGAGGAGCCGCTGCAGTGGAGGAATGGGGTGATGGAAAGCAGAGGAAGGCCCACTCTCCACTTCCACCACCTGCTTTACCCCTGCAGATCCCGCCTGGCTCCTTGAGGGAGGACCCACTGGGTGAAGCACAGCCACAGATCTGAGCCAGGATGGGAGTGAATCCCAGGAGGAGGCCAGAGCTGGCAGCCAGCTCTGCCTTTCCACTGCCAGGAGTGCTGGGGGCCCAGCCTGACCCCCTGAAGAGACAGCCAAGTGTTCTCCGCATACGCCTCCCAGAGTGAGCTCTAGCCAGACTCCTTTGCTCTCGCCACTACTCATCTCTGGAATTAGCCACTTAAATACAGGTTTTTGTTGCTGAGATGTGAGTGAAACCAGCTAGTGCATCAACAGTGAAGACCTGGGGACAGTTCTGCGACTTATTTCTGGATTCCTACCCCCTCTTCTAGTCTAGCCCAAGTAGTCCCGCCAGGCACATGCCCCATTTGGCACAGGCCTGCATTCTTGTCGTGCCGTCCTGGGCCTCAGGCTGTCTGGGCGGGGAGATGCTCACATTTGTACAGGCTACATAGACTGGTGCAAGCAGTGCTGGCTTCCAGGAGTCTTGGCATCTCATAGCTTGTCCCGGGAGGAGTGAACAGAGGGTCTGGATTCCTGCTCTCAGCAAAAGCAGTCTGACCCCTCTGGCCAGGCTCTTACGTCATGGTTGTGAGGAGGCTGATGAGGGTCCTTCGGCCAGCACAACCTTCCTCCCTACCCACGGCGTGGAGTCTGACCCAGGAAGTTCCAGAGCCTGAACAGAGGGAACTGGGAAGGATCTAGGTTCGCTTCTGCTGGTAGCTTGAGTCCCATGCCTCCGCCCTGCCGGCTGAGGAAGGGGTGACAGGTGGTCAAGGAGCTGTGGCCACAGAGTTTTCCAGGGTGGTACTTGTCAGGTTAGGTGCATATGCACCACCCTTGTCAAGAGTCATTGACGACAGCCCCCCTCTGGACCCCCCAGGACCTCAAAGTGGGGGCAGGCAGAAGGGAGAACCAGCTCAAGACATTTTGGAGGATCTGGCCCTGGGGGTCTTCAGAGAGCACTCTCTAGGGGCTTTGTGGACATGGTCTGTCCCCACATCCACCACTTGCCTCCTGCCGTGGTCACTCGGCAGCCCTTTTCCCAGAAGACACCTCTGGAAGCCTGCTCAGTGCTTGTCCTGCCATCCTGTGTCCTGAGACTGAGGGTCACTCCAGCTGCTCTGTGTTGCATACTCTCCCCCTCAAGCCTCTGTATGAAGAACTGTCCCCTGGCTTCCAGCAGGCCATGGCTGGCTGTTTTGTGACTGTTACATTGTGCAGGGGTAATTAGAGCGTGGCTTTTACACTTGTGTGTGACTGATGATTGGGGGGTGGGGGGTACAGTGGTGGGCCTGGGACTCTCTGTAGACTCCAGGAACAGCGGCCCTGGAGATCCCAACTAGACTTCTGTGTCTGAGATTTGCAGAAGTGGCCAGGATTGGGGCTAGGATGAGGTTCCAGAATGGTGAGCCTCTGGGGCGCTAACCAGGTGGAGCATGCCGTCTATGCCAGTGGCGGCTTCATGGACTCTGCTAAGTCGAATGAGCTCTCGTTCATCCCTCCTGACCCGCTGCCCCGCATACCCTGGGTGTGGAGCCTTCTTCCTGCGTTAACCGGTCCAGAATGCCACCATCTTCTCTTTCTACCCCACTTCTCACACCCTTCTTGCTGAGTTTTCCCCCGTGGTAACCTATGCCTGCCCCCAGCACATATACCTAGGGACCTCCAAAGCCCTCACCTGCCCGCCTGTTCCTTCTCACACACACGGCCATCGGGAGGGTTGCCGTCTGGCACCCTTCGTTGGGCAGACAGGAAAGCCAAGGCTCAGAGAAGTGGTGTAGTCTCTCAAAGTTCCAGGCACCTGTGGTTTCCTGCAGGACCAGAAACAGGAAAGGGGTCTGAACCCACCCGCAGAGCGGTCTCAGTAGTCTGAAAATACAGATGATGTCCCTATTCTCAAGATTATTGTGGGAGAACCATTGCAAAAAGTGTATCGCGTAGACCCGCCTCCCCGTTCAGATTAATGCAGCCCTGGGGCTTGACTCCAGGGGTCCCCCCACATGCTCACCTCCCCCGTGGTGAACTGAGGCCCCCACACACCCTGCGTCCTGTGAGGGAGGGGTGAGCCCAGCAGTGATTGAGAGGCGGAAAGGGGAAGCGGGGGTGCTCTCCGTCTTCTGGGCCCCAGTCAGGATATGGCCGCTCTGGGTCCACCCCGACCCACTGGGTGGAAACAGGAAATAAGTGAGACCTGGTGTGCACTGGGTCTACGCCTGGCTCCACGGCTGATAAGGGCCATTGTGTGGCCGCTGGGGATGAGCCTGCCCTGGATAGATGTGCTTCCCGGAGGAAGGAAGGAGGGCTTGCTAGCCTTTCCGGGGCGGGGGAAGCTGTGGGGAGACGGAAGGGTGCCGAGGGGAAGGCCCCTGCCTATGGGGCTGTCGGTGCCAGCACACGCCCACAGGACTCGGCCCTTCCTATGCCAGCCTCTCCCTCTGGAAAGGTCTGTTCCCCTATCCACTTCCCTGTTCTGACTTCCTCTAAGGAATGGCTGGAGACCGGAGGGCTCAGTCTCAGGCCAGGAAAGTGTCAGCTGTGATTTAGCAGCAGTAAAAATAGAAAAGCAGGAACATCAGGGGTGGGGGGTCACCTGGGGGTACTGTCGAAATGCAAGGATGAACAGGGCTAGAGCTTGCCACACCCAGGGAACCCAGGAACTCACCTCACAAGCTCTGAGGCTCGGAGGAGGGTAAGACGTCTTCTCCCAGTGGGACAACGCCCTCTGCCCAGCACGACCAGCCCCCAGCACGACCAGCCCCCGGCACGACCAGCCCCCAGCACGACCAGCCCCCAGCAGCTCTGGCCACTCAAACTCACGGTGGGGCTCACCTGCTGTGGGGACGGCCCGTTGAGGGGATGTGCAGGAAAGGCAGTGCGCACTGAGGGGTCCTCTTGGCCTAGGGGAGGGCATGCCTTCTGGTTTGGGGAGTGGGCCCTGTGCTTTAGCTGGTACCAGAGAGTGGCAGGAGGAGGGGCCCAGCCATAGAGCTGCTGGGGGGTGGCGGGGGAAGGGGAAAGGCGCCCTACCCTTTGACCTGGAGCCCAGGGTCCCCCATGGGTGGCTGCATGGGCTCCTCTGGTTACCTGGGACAACAGGCATTTCCTCCATCCCCAGCCCCTCCTCTTCCTGCTCCAACCATCCGGGCCAAGAGGCCTCCCAATCAGACCTGGACGGCTCCAGCTGTGTCCTGAGGCGCTGGACCAGCCACATCCCCTGGGGCTGGAGTTGAAGCAGAACCAAGTGGCCATCCCGGCGTTAGACCATAGGTTCCTGGCTTCTGGAGCGGTCAGAGCCAGCCAGTGGGCAGCAGCTTTTGCTCACAGGCCCCAGTGCCCAGGGCGCTGGCTCTCCGCAGGGCGGAATGGCGCTGCAAGTGGAGCTGGTACCCACCGGGGAGATCATCCGCGTGGTTCATCCCCACAGGCCCTGCAAGCTTGTAAGCTGGGATGCTCTGGGCTGGGAGGAGGGTGGAGTATCTCCCCCAGGGCCGGGCAGCCCCTCTCAAGCAGAGCCCTAGGGCAAGAGGTGAGCAGAGGGGGACGGGTTCCAATCCTTGGATGGGGCCAGAACAGACTGAACAAGACTGGAAGAGTAAGGATGTAAGCGCCACCAGCATCAGGATTTTGGGAAGTGGAGGTCTGGGCTTGACTCCTCCAGCTTCCTGAACCTCAGTGGGCAGAACTGGGAATACTGGGCACAAAAGGCAAGTGCCGGCCGCTGTGAGGTCGAAGGATGAGGGCATGGAAGCTCCTCTCCAGTCCGCCGGGCTGGGACCTCCCAAGACTCACAACAGGAGGACGGTGTGGGAGGTGGGTGAAGGGACATGGGTGGGTGGAAACCGGGGAGCGCGGCCCTGACCCGGCCCGCAGGGAAGGGGCTGGAGATGCAAAGGGCCCGGAGGAGGGAGAAAGTCAGGCGCCCCCGCGCC